TGTAGTCCACAGTTTTGTCTGTGCTTGATTGCAGGGATATTGTTTATATGCACGCTTCGACCACCTTGAAGCCGCTTGACTCTGTGTATCACCGGGCGTTGCAATTTAGCACAGGTGATTAATTTCTTACTCACCATTGTATCTTACATGAAAAAGTGGAATGGTCCTCCCTAATGAATAAAAGCAGGCAACCTTGCATGAGGTTTATTTACAAGGCCCTACTGCATAGATTGTCAATGTCAGGTCCCAGGAGGTTTTAGCATTAGCTGCACGTGAAATGAAAATGAATTACTTTATACTACTTTATATTTTCCTGCCTACAAATGGAGACTACAAAAGAACTACAAAGCTACATTCTCCTATTTCATTGGAGCATTTTAAAAGGTCATATATATTTATCTGCAGCTACTCTTGAATATATGTTTCTTAATTTGTGATCACATATAAGGTCATTTCATTATGTGGTTGTATGTCTTTGTACACAGGTCTCCCCTGAAAAAGAGCTCTCGATCTCAAACAGAGAAAAAGTTTAAATGAAGGATGTAATAATAACAGTGATGTTACATATTAATGTTACACTTTTTTCTTTTGAATAGGCTGTGTTGCAGCATGGCAGCTGCACAGCCCTACTAGACCTGAGAGCTGTTACAGCTTAATTTGTTAATTGTTAATACCAGGTTAGTGATTTAATCTTTGTTTTTAATAGACCCCTCTCGAAAAAGGTTAGTACTCCCTCATCTGTACTCATCTGTCTCCGAAATCACTCCTCTTAGTCAAGCGGGTGAGCTTAATATCCTGCCCTGTCAATTGCCACTGAGAGAAGGGGGATTTTATATTTTTTAAATCTCATGATAGCCACTCGGAAATGCTGGCCTGAAGGCAGGAGCTAAACACATTCCACAATGGCTGGTCAGGACAGTCTTGAATGGTATTGGCTTTCCTCAGTGCCTCTGTGCTGCACTGTAATTGCAAGAGCTGTAGCTGACTTACCCCAACGATCTTATTTGTCAATTTTACAAGACCCCTAAGCTTTTCTTTAGTGAACAAGGTGAAGTTTCCACACAAGGCTAAAATGCATAATATTAAAACCGAGATTATGCAGTTCAATCTCAGGAAAAGTTCCTTAGAGCAGTCACTGGGGGATAAAGAGCTCAGTTTTGACTCTTGGGTAATGGTTTTATATTCTTTCTTTTACCAACAATCAGTGACAATTGATTTGGTTTAACAACAATAACAACTTTCTGACCATTAGAAAGTAATTTCAGTTGCCTAAACATAATCATGCCTGAACCACAGGGGTGTCCGATTAGCACGCACTCAAAAATCATGCTGACAAATGACCTGCTTTGCCATTTAGACATAAGAGCCTCTTGCCCTGATTTTTTTGGAGTGCTCAGTAGTTTGAAACTACTGAGCTGTTTTGAAACTGCATTTGCAAACTTGCACTGCAACAACAAAACATCAGCAGTGATGGGAGAGTGGCAGACAATGTACCGATGCAGTGATGCTTTATTACAGTTTCCTTACTGTTAACAGATTCCACACAAAACCCCAAAAAAACAACATCATACTCAAATGACAAGTATTGTCTCTGCAGACTTCCATTGTCGTTGTGTCACCAACTGATACGTTGCTCAGTTATGATAAACTTGGGCATTGTGTGTAATTTTGAGAGGAGCCCACACACTGCAGCTGGCTACTGTAAACATGTTTGCATCATATCTGTTAGTTGATGTTAAACGATAACACGGCTTTTTCAAAAAGCACAGTTTTTTTAACCTAAAGCTGTGGAGCCATATTCACTAAATAATTTGTTGTCAGCAGAAGCAGTTTTCGATGTTGTTTAAGCATTTTATATTGCATACAGTCATTTAGGCCTGATTTAAGTGGCCATGCAAGAGGATGAAGTTCTGCTTTTTGGCAGCGTCGTTGCAGGCTTCGCCCCCTCAGGCTTCAGACCTAGAGGCTACTTATCACTCCGTGCCAGAACTCTGGTTATAATCACATCTATTTAATGACTTACACATTTGATTCAAACATTACTGAAGACTCAGTGGAGCCAGAACAGTGTTTCTTCTGCCCTTTGGGCTAAATAGGCTTTTCCTGATTTGTTCACATCCCTGCAAATGTCACTGCACAGAGATAGACGTCTCCTTGATATCTCTACCCTTCCATTTAACCAGTGCTATACCCACAGACGAGACTTTTAATTACTTTTTGAGAGACAGGACAGTGTATTATCAAACACATTATTTTCACCTCAGACATCTCCCAGCCCGACTCAATCAATAGTACCATTCTTCTGTATGAACATATTAATATCACAGTCTTATAATGAAAATGAAAAGTGTCAGGTTCGGTGGGTAATCTGTTTTAGGTATCGATTCGTGCCAAGAGTCGTCCAAGGTCACGGCCCCTGCTTTATGTATGTATGTATGTATGTGTATATAGGTGTGTGTGCACATAAAAACACACACACACACTTGCACATGCCTACCAGTGGGTATATTTAGCTCTTTAAGCAACGCTCTCCAGCTTCTTAAATTGTTGATCTATTTGCCCTTGCCTTTTCTCGCAGTTAACTCCTCTCCCCTTACCTTTTCTTCTTCATGACTGAGCCTCTCTGGTGTGCTCTTCCTATATTCAGTTATGTCACTGAACATTTGCAAATTAACCTAATGATTCATTTCTTACAGCAGCAGAATATTGTTAGAGCTTGGCATCTAGGCTCATCACTCTGCACAAATAGTCTATGTATAAAATTGGGAAGTGATGAGCAAATATTGCCCAGAGCCTACAGGTGGTAGAGGGTCCAAAACAACAGCGCGCAGATGCACGGCACAAGAACCAATGACATGTCAGAAAGAGAGATGGCGACATTTTTATGCCTTTGTAAAACACTGAAATGGGAAATTGGGTGTTTTTGGTGTGTTGTGAGAAGGATCTATGGTTTTGACCCTGTTATTTATATTTCCAGAGCGTCACCACCTTCTTTTAAAAAGGAAAAATTGTAATATAGGGCTGTCAAAAGATAATTAAGCTTCTGGGAACTCTAGACCGACCTGTGGTACAGGCATTATTCTCACCTATGCAGGTGTCCAAGCTCTGCAGCAAACCTGGATAAGATAAAGGTGCTGTCTCAAAAGCTAAGATAAGAAATTATTTAACTAAACCATTTTTTTTTTAAAGATTGCTCAAAGACTTCAAATTCCAAGATACAGTTTTGGCAGCATGATACTAAAGTCACTGTACAGCAGGAAACCTCCCTGGATAAACACGACTGCCAAAGACTTAATGAAAGCAAGAACAAAGAATCTGCAGAGTATAAGAAGAACACTAAACAAGCAAGGACTTTGTCAAGGAAATATTACATAGCTATATTTTTCAGCTGGAAGGTTTCATCGGGGTTTTGAAATAAAATACAAACACAGACACTTAAGTAACACAAGCCATGACACCGATGATTTATAGGTGTGTTGCTGGAAAAGAGAGCAGGCTACAAAATTCACATGGGAAATCAAAACTGTGAACATCTACCAGATGTAGCAGAGTATCTGTCTTCACAGCGAAACACGCGAGAATCAAAACACTGCTAAAGTGCCTTAAGACTCTTTGTTTTGTTTGCAAGCAGGGACTTCATGACGGCACTTTTGCTGCACAATTTTACCGAGTAAAACAAAACACAAGCTGACTTAAATGTGGACGAAAGTAACAGATCAGCCTGTAGATTGAAGGATTCTGTTAACAGAGTGACGAGACTAAAGTGGAACTGTTTGGATCCATGAATCAAGATGTCATGTTGTTTAAAAAGAGACAATCCACTGAAGAAGAATGTGTTGGCTTAGGTCCCAAGATGATTGGTAATCAGTTCATTAATCATTCCTGGTGCATCATTCAGTAGCCACCGGAGTCTCAAGAGATGTTATTCACTGAAAATATTCTGACACATTTAAAGAAAAGAAGATGCAGCAATTAAATTAAGACAAGCGGCATGTTTTGGCAGCTGAGTATTTTGTTTTTGCTTAAAATTCATGATCATACCCTATGTCGTATGATGTTTTTCTGGGGGAAAAAACAGGCACAGAGCCTGCCAGTGTTTGTGAATATGTGTGGGTTTGGTTTTGTTTTTTTAAATTATATGTTATTTACTTTGCTGTATATGTCATTACTATATTTTCATCCTTTTTTAGTCATAAAACTAGATTAAAGTCGTGGCAGATGGTTGCTCCTCCCTGGTTCTGCTGGAGGCTTCTTCCTGTTAAAAGGGAGTTTTTCCTTTCCACTGTCGCCCAGCGCTTGCTCGTAGGGTCTCATAGGTCTAAACCTTACAATATAAACCACCTTGAACTGACTGTTGTTGTGATTTGGCGCTATATAAATAAAATTGAATTGAATTGAATTAAAAAGTGGAAAAAAAAATCTATAATTAAAAGTCAACATTTAGATGTTGGTTTGGCAGTGCTGGATTAAACTCTTTTGACTTTTACACCAAGTTTGATTCATATGTGAGAAGTAAAGCTAGTTGGTTAAGGTCAGGCATCAAAAAACATCATTGTTTGGGTAAAAATCTTTGCCAGTCTTTTTAAACGTTGTTGTCATAGTTGCCATGATGATGCTTCCCTCTTTCCTCTACAAAAAAAACTTCTGACTTTAATATTTCCTACTGAACTGTATCGCATGTCGCTGAACATGAAAAGGCTGATTCATTTGCAAGTAGTTTTACTACCTGATGTACTATTTCAACCTACAAAAACAATGGAAATTGCAGGTTCCTTTTCGGATTTGTAATTTTTGGTTATCAAGACAATCTCGAGACAGTTGTTTGCCCTTTTGTTTAAATCAGTGTTGCAGTCGCAGAGGTTAATACTTTGAGGGTTTTGTGCTGAAAGCTGATAATACTCAAATGCAATGTTAACATACTGATACTCACTCATAATGGAGAACCAATCCATTTGTGTTAAATATTTCTAAACTGACATGTGTCCTCTGTGTTTTGACAGATGCCATGCTGCTGGTGGCAGACAGGCTGCAAGGCCCCTCCAATATTGAAGCAGTTATACAACCAATTGACATCAAGATCTCTGACGCTATCATGACTATGCAGGACAACAGCATGCAAGTGTCAGCCAAGGTACTGTATCCTGAAGAAGCTGTGCTGACTTTGTTGAATTTGTGCTGAAAACAGTGTTCACACACACACAATATCTGACCTGATAAACAGTGTGTACATTTTTAAGTAGTGTAAAACCACAAGTAACATAAAAAATTGCCTTGTCTAATATCTCATCCAGGAAATAATGAGCATAATAACTGGACTATATTAGCAGTCCTCAACTTCTCATCTCATTGTCCCTTTTTATTTTGTTATTCATATGAATCTGCATGATTCAGCAGAAATATGTCAATCTGTGCAATGTAAATGCAACATATATTTGGAACCCTGTGACAAGCTTTTACACATAACACAGTCTCCTAAACATCACAATTGTATTCGCATATCTAAAATTTGGGACAGGACATATTAACGTTTTCGCTGCTAATTCTGTCTTTGTCCTCTTTAGACTTCATATTGTAAATTGGTCTTTGGCACATTTTAAATATGAAGTGGCACAATTAGGATATTATCACACAGTGGATGGTTTTTCACTGCCTTTCTTGTCAAAAGGCAGCTTTTTCACTTCATCATTGTTATTCTGATGGTTACGTGTGGCCCATCTCCATGCCAGAGTTACAAAAGTCACTGTGAATTAGCCGTCACATTGTCTCCCATATCAAACAGCTGTCAATGTCCAACTTAACCCCTTGTCAATGCGCTTGACGTCTCACTTCTCTGAGGCTGTGCTTGGCTGACAGATTGGTGTCAGATTATAATCTTTCACATTTTGACCATTTCCCTGAGTTGTCTTGTTCTTCGTTTACTGCTCCTCAAACCTGTTGAAAAACATTTTGCTTGTGCGATGTACAAGATATTGGAAGCGTAATCATGGTGAAGAATTGCTAAATATTAGAAAAAAGCAGTCTCTTGTCATGACAGCCATCTAATACATTAGGGTGCTCCATCACTACTGAGCCAGGGGCCAGTAAACGTGCCAGGGATGAATGCTAATGAGCTGTGCTGTTTGGAGGTGTCTTGTTTGGGCCTTTAAAGCAATCTGCTGTTCATATGAACCTCTATGAGCCACACACTGATTAATGCGAGATTCCAGTGGTGAATCTGCACTTCTCAAAGCATAAACAACTGAACTTTTGTTTGTTAAATTTAAGAACTTTCCTTTTAAAAAAGCCAATGTGTGTGCGGGTTTACATTGTTCCCGGGTAGTTACTTTCTCTGTATCGCTCAGCCATGTAACACTAAATATTACAAAATGCTACAATTCTGCATTTTCCTCTCCCAAAAGTTTTCCTATTTGCAGTTTAGAATAAAATTAGCCTATTACTTTTATCTCTTCTGTACGCTGACAGCTTCATTTCAGTTGTAGTTTGTGATAACGTGGATGCAAAACAAGGATGCGACACAGAATCCTGGTCAGATGTCAGATTTTCTTAATTTTATATCTCGCTAGGACGACTGAGTAACAACATATCAAGGGTTAATTCCTTTTCTCCCAACAATATCACACTTCATTTAAAAAGAGACTCATCACTGATAGACAGTATTGGTTCCAGGACGGCTCTCTACAGTTTGGCTGTCTCAAATCACAGAGCAGAAATGGTGCTGAGAGCAAATTGACAGAGGGAGAAATATCAGTGGTAGAGCAAAGTACAAGTTTTGTGGGATCAAAATGGATGTGTAATCTACAAAGTAACAGACTCAGCCCTGGCTCAGTGCAGTTTTGTGCATCCTCTGAATGCTGACAACTAAATTATTTATCACTGCAAAGTTCGCTGTCATTATTATGGGGAAATATTGCATTATTATTACAAAACTGGGCAGTTTATCCTCTTTTCCCTGGCGTCTGCCTTTTCTCTGCGGTAACTTTGTGTACCTCTCTTCTGTTTTTAGGTCTTTCAAGGGTGTGGCCAACCAAAGCCATCAGGAATAGGCAGGTCTGTGCGGGGCATCTCAGATGTGTTCAGTGGGCGTTTCAGGCCCTACACCCCTGAGGAGAGGCCAACCACTGCAGCTGGAACAAGCCTGGATAGACTGGTATGCACCGAGACTAGATAATTTCGCCAGTACTGTAAACCTGGATTGAAAAATGCAGTTATAAAAATTAAATGAAATAATAATTACCTTTGTGATATAAACAGCTCCAGAGATGACTGAAAGATGAAATAATTTATGTGGAAGAACTGATCCATTCCTAAAGCAAACCTCGAATACAAAGCCTTGACTTTAAAGCCTAACTCATGCGGTGCTAATGCATGATGATTTCCAGTAAAGAAGTCAGGATTCTGCCAACAAAGGATGCAGAACACGCTTCCTTTCTCACATTTTTCAAAAGCTCAACTGATTTCCACTGTACAGAAGTGGAGTGTTTTTGAAATTTTATTGGCAGAGGCAGACTCGGTGGTGGCATGCTGAGTTTAAGGTCGACTTACTGGGGCTCATGTCAAAAGGCCAGAAAAAATAGAGGCTTGTTCATATAGTCCATATAGCCCCCAGGTGCTGTGTGACTTCCACTGCTGCTGTACTCGGACTTAAAATATTTCTGTTCTTTCACTCACTGCTGATGGTTACAGAGAAAAATCACAACAGCACACGCTTTTTCAACACAAGCTGGACATGTTGTTTAATACATATTCCTCGTGAGCATGAGGGAAGGGTAAAGCCCAAGCCTTATCCCAAAATGTGCAAAATGTTCAAAATCAAATCAAATCAAATCACTTTTATTGTCACATCACATGTGCAGGCACACTGGCACAGCACATGCGAGTGAAATTCTTGTGTGCGAGCCCCACAAGCAACAGAGATGTGCAAACACAACAACACAAACGAGCAAAATACAAGAATGGCCAACCTGAAACTAATAAATATATGTACAATATATAATAGTGTATGCATTTCTGGATGTGTATACTAAATATTTTCCTACGTGTGTGTGTGTGTGTGTGTGTGTGTGTGTGTGTGTGTGTGTGTGTGTGTGTATACACATTTTTACAAATTAAATAGTAAAAAAATAAAAAAAAATAAAAATAATAATAATAATAATAATAAAATATATAAAAATATACAGAGTTGAGACATGTGCAAAACAGTGGCATTACTGTACAGTGTGGAGTGCATAATGTTAAAGTTCCAGTAGTGAAGCTGAGGTGTCTATGACGTGTTCAGCAGTCTGATGGCCTGATAGAAAAAGCTGTCTCTCAGTCTGCTGGTTCGGGACCAGATGCTGCAGAACCTCCTTCCTGATGGAAGCAGTCTGAACAGTTTATGGCTGGGGTGACTGGAGTCCTTGATGATCCTCCCCGCTTTCCTCAGGCAGCGCTTCCTGTAGATGTCTTGGAGGGAGGGAAGCTCACCTCCAATTATCCGTACAGAGCACCGCACTACTCGCTGGAGAGCTTTGCAGTTGTAGGCGGTGCTGTTGCCATACCAGGTGGTGATGCATCCAGTGAGGATGCTCTCAATGGCACAGTGATAGAAGGTCCTGAGGATGCGGGGGCTCATGCCGAATCTTTTCAGTCTCCTGAGAAAGAAGAGGCGCTGCTGCGCCTTCTTCACTGTTTTGTTTGTGTGTACTGACCACGTAAGATCCTCAGCCAGATGTACTCCAAGGAACCGGAAGCTGCTCACTCTCTCCACAGCAGCGCCGTTGATGGTGATGGGGGTGTGTACTTCTCTGCACCTCCGGAAGTCCACTATCAACTCCTTTGTCTTTGCGACGTTGAGGGTGAGATGGTTGTCTTGACACCAGTGGGTCAGGGCGCTGACCTCCTCCCTGTAAGCTGTCTCATCACTGTTGGTGATAAGATCCACCACTGTAGTGTCGTCCGCAAACTTCACAATGATGTTGGAGCTGTTAGTGGCTGTGCAGTCGTAGGTGTAGAGTGAGTACAGGAGAGGGCTCAGTACACACCCCTGTGGAGCACCAGTGTTCAGTGTGATGGGGGATGAGGTGATGCTGCCCAGTCTGACCACTTGGCGTCTGTCAGACAGGAAGCTAAGGATCCAGCTGCAGAGGGAGCTGCTCAGTCCTAGATCCTGCAGTTTCCTGTCCAGCTTCGAGGGAACGATGGTATTGAATGCTGAGCTGTAATGTACAAACAGCATCCTCACATACGTGTCTCTCTTCTCCAGGTGTGACAGGGCAGTGTGTAGTGTCAGGGCTATGGCATCATCAGTGGACCTGTTGTGGCGGTATGCAAACTGTAGAGGGTCCAGTGAGTCGGGTAGTGCAGAGCAGATGAAGTCCCTGACCAGCTTCTCGAAGCATTTGCTTACGATGGGGGTCAGGGCTACAGGTCGCCAGTCGTTCAATGAGGAGATGGTGGAGGATTTGGGTACAGGGATGATGGTGGCCATTTTGAAGCAGGCTGGGACTACAGACAGAGAGAGGGAAAGGTTGAAGATGTGCGTGAACACTCCAGCCAGCTGAGCCGCGCATGACCTGAGGACGCGGCCGGGAATCCCGTCCGGACCAGTAGCTTTGCGTGCGTTCACCTTCCTGAAGCACTTCCGCACATCCTCCTCAGACACAGTGTGCGCACTGACGTCATCCGCGGTGCGCACACTGTCCGGTCTCATGGTGTTCGCTGTGTCGAATCTAGCGTAGAATACGTTTAGATCCTCACACAGAGAGGCCGTGGTCTGCGGTGTGCTGGTTTTCCCTCTAAAGTCTGTGATCGTGTTTAGTCCCTGCCACATACTCCGAGGGTTGTCAAACTGTTGCTCCACCCTGTCCCTGTACTCACGTTTGGCTGCTTTGATCGTCTTCCGGAGTTGGTAATGTGCGTGTTTGTAGTCCGATGTGTTCGCGGAGGCAAAGGCGGTGTTCCGTGCCGCCAGTGCCGCGCGAACATCTCCGTTAATCCAGGGTTTTTGATTTGGGAAGGATTTGACTGTTCTGGATGGGACGACATCTTCCACGCATTTCCTGATAAATCCACAGACTGAGTCTGTGTATTCATCAATGTCTCTGGCGGCCACGTGAAACATTTCCCAGTCCGCGTGATCAAAACAGTCCCGCAGCGCAGACTCCGATTGGTCCGTCCAACAGTGCACCGCCCTCCGGGTTGGAGCTTCCTGTTTCAGCTTCTGCCTGTAGGCGGGCAGGAGCAGGATGGAGCAGTGATCTGATTGGCCGAATGGGGCGCGGGGGAGGGCTTTGTACGCATCCCGGAAAGAGGTGTAACAGTGGTCGAGTAGCCGGTTTCCACGAGTGTTGAAAAGGATGTGTTGATGGAGTTTTGGTGAGACTTTCTTCAGGTTTCCCTTATTAAAGTCTCCGGCTGTGATAAACGCTGCCTCTGGGTGTGCGGTTTCCTCGCTGCTGATCGCGCTGTACAGTTCCCTGAGTGCACGGTCAGTGTTGGCTTGTGGGGGAATGTAAACAGCCGTAATAATCACTGCTGTAAATTCCCTCGGTAGCCAGAATGGCCGGCACTTAATCATCAGGTACTCCAGGTCCGGTGAGCAGAAGGATTTGACCGGGTGCACGTTCGCATAATCACACCAGCTGTTGTTGATCATGAAACACACACCACCGCCTCTGCTTTTCCCAGTAAGATCCTGTGACCTGTCCGCGCAGTGCACAGAGAACCCCGGCAGTTGTATTGCGGAGTCCGGTACTTTGTCCGATAGCCAGGTTTCTGTGAGGCAGATCACGCAGCAGTCCCGCATCTCTCGCTGGAATGAGATCCGTGCCCGAAGCTCGCACAGCTTGTTCTCCAGAGACTGCATATTAGCCAGTAATAAACTGGGTAACGGTGGTCTGTAAGTGCGTCGTCTCAGTCGAACCAGAACGCCAGATCTTCTCCCTCTGCGTCGGCGTTTGCGGCCTCCAGGGCCAGAGAACAAAGGCGTCTCAGGTGAGATGAATGGGGGGTCTGCAAACGGAGCGTCCGTGTTGCAAAACTTGAACTCCGGAAAGTTATAAGAAAGACCGTCTTTTATGTCCAGTAAGGTTTGTCGGTCGTACACAAGGAGACAAGTGCTGCTCGTGAAAAAATAAAGGAAAAGTAAAATTAAACACAGAAGAAAGCCGTTGCTTGGGGGAGCTCGCGACGAGGCTGCCATACTCGGCGCCATCTTGAACAACAGCGTACAAAAGATTCAACATCCACCCACCAAACGTCAGAATGATGAAAAAATGCTAAGACATTAATTGAGGCTACAAAAAAGGTCTGCGGAGCCCCCTGATGCTACTGAGGCACATTGTGTAGGAGGCTGTCAACGTCAAGCTTCGCTATAGAGCTGCGCAGAAGCCCATAAGTTGATACGATGTTAAACCGGGCCTCACAGCCCACGACTCCTCATCTTTTCCCCTGTTGCTACAAAATATGTGCTGCTGTCATGTAGCAGCAAAAGCGATGCACCTGATATTAACTAAGCTGTGTGTGTTTCATGTCAAGCTGACTTATTCTTATGGATATGACACACTTGTATGAGTAGGCATGCCTAACATAAAGCACTGTGGCCATAAAGAGATAGACATGCTAAGGAACAATCCTCCTTCATGTTGTTTACACCAAATTCTGGCCCTGCCGTCTGAACGTCTCAGCAGAAATGGAGACTCATCAGACCAGGTGGCATTTTTCCAGTCTTCTGTGGCACCAGGTGTGGTTTTCTGCTGCTGTAGGTTTGATGTGTTGTGCATTCAGAGACACCTTTCTCCATACGTTGGCTGTAACGAGTATTTATTCGAGTTGCTGTTGCCTTCCTATCAACTTGAAGCAGTCTAGCCACTCTACTCTGACCTCTGGCATCAACAAGGCATAGAACTGCATCTTACTGGATATTTTCTCGTTTTTGACTGTTGTCTGTAAACTATAGAGATAGTTCTGGGGAGGGGGGGATCCCAGGAGATGAGCAGTTTCTGAAATACTCAGACTAGCCTGTCTGGCACCAGCAACCATGCCACGTTCAAAACACATTTCTTCCCAATTCTGATGCTCAGTTGGACTCATCTGTATATCCCTAAATGCATTGCATTGTTGCTTTGTGACCTTCTGATTAGATAGTTGTGTTATTCTTTAACACAAGTTGAAAAGGTGTACCTAATGAGTGGATATATTTTATTGTTTTTTACTCATAAAAGTCTGAAATTGTTACTATTCCTGCTGTTTAACACGATATGGCCTTCTACCAAATCTTTAATGAATATGTTATGTTTCTCAACAGTTACTGCTTTAAGTAAATTCAGTTAAAAGACAATTGTGAAGTAATACTAACAGAATATCAGCTGAAGTGTGCACTCACACAGGCTAGAAAATAGCTCCTTATGCTGTGAATTTTTCCTCTCGCCAATCCATTTAGACGATTTTTTTTTTTATGTAATCCTCACTCCAACAAGTAAATCCGTTTATTAAACACAGTATTGTCTTTTAAAATAAAAGGTACATTTTATAATCTTCAACTGTGCAAGTTGTTCCATGGGATTAAAATGGAAAAAAGGAAGGAGCAGAGACGTGATTACAGGCAGCAGAGAGTCTCCATAAGTAGTCTTTACTCCAAAAATAGCTGTAATTGTTAGGAATACCACAGTGACTGTATAAAAGATGTCCAGAACCTTTAAAGTGTTATTCTTGAACACTCCGTATCTTTACACTCAGGCCTCATTTGAAAATTAGAACCAAATCCACTTTTTTCTGATTCATAACATGCACATTAAAATGTGTGGGAAAAATCTAAAAGGCAAAAGTGCATTTAGAGAAAACCCACTGGTTTCACTATCTTTAATAATGTATGCTTACATGCACTCCAGCCTGCTGCTTGCAAAAGATTTGAAAAGTTGTTCCAAGAAGTGGGAACTGGGTAGCTCAGGAAAACATATCTAACCCGTTCTTCAATGTACTTGCATCTCACTGTGTAAATTTATTAGGTGTGTTATGTGTAATACTTACAGTACAAATACATGTGAAACACTGAAGTATTAAAAAGTTGGCGTACTTTGCTAAACTGATTGCATTGCATTGCTTGAAACAACCACTGTCATTAGACCACTTCAGCCTGCGTTCCCACATTAGGCTGCTGTTTGTATGCAGGTGGTGATCTGTGCATTGATCAGACTTGATAGCAGCTGATTTCACACTGGAAAATGTATTGTGAATAAAATGGTTTGAGGTACTCAATCTCATAGGCTGGTGAATAGAATATTTTAGCAGCACCATTTATCATTTAACTTTTTGCTTCACTAACTAGTCATTATTTTGGCCCTATTCTCTCTCTCAGTCTCTCTATTTCTCTGATGTCCAATTAAATCTCTTTCTTCTTCATTTCTCTGCTGCTCTCAGAGGGCTGTCTGGAGGACAATGCAACACAGTGTAAGCTTTCCATTCCTCCTCTTACATTCACAATGTCATGTGTCTCGTGGTGTTTTAATCAACCTGCCAATAGTGCTTCACTTTGCCACATTATTTAGAACTGATATTGATTGCTTGTTTGTGGAATGTCTGCTTTATTTTTACTTAGTATTTTTGTTTCTTGGTAACTTGGTAACTACACTGAAACTATGAACAGCTGAAACCAATATTTACAACTGTGTTTTTCTGCCTCACATTTGGTCTAACATGGGTTACATTGGCAGAAAGATGGTTCAGCTGTCAGAACTTGCCCTACAGCGTTGGATGGCTTTCTCTTTGGGTTTCCTATATTGTGTTTCTACTGCTGCTCTGCTTGATCTGAGGCTTTAAATTATTTGTTTGTATTGTAGGTTTTATTCACATTAACCCTGTTGCAACCCTTTTATGCATGAGTATTCCCCATTGTTTTTGCTTGTGTTGTGCATGACTTTTTGTATTCCTTGTATAGGTGTAGACAAGCTGAGCAAATTAATTGAGTCTATCATATATCATCCAGGAAAATCTGAAAGACTTAAAGAACTGCAAAATTGTTGATATACGCAGCTACAGCTACAGCTACTGTATAGTACTTAGTCTAGCTGCTGTAGCAAACAGTGACTCAGTCTGTTACATAAGTTCAAGTTTAATATTCTTTGTGTTTTTTTAGCACTTACATATAGAAGTTAAAAATGCATGTATTAGGTATGTCTTATAGCACCTTTTGGTAACAAAATTCTGGAAAGGTAACAATACTTGATTTTTTTTTTTTCAGTACAGAAGGCAGCATTAGTGCCGCGTAGAGTTGTCAAAAAACTGATCCTTGGATACTAATTGATGCTAAATATTACTATTGGATCAGATACTCATTTGCAATATTAACAGTGCCATCTTCACAGAGCCCCTCATAACGCTAGCAGCTAAACACCTGAATAGAACAAGCTTGGCGAAGCTTAAAGGCTGACATTTCAGTCTTTATCAAGAATTTTGAGACAATGTTGAAGTATTTGAGTTATTTTGAATGCTTACCTGTCTCACACACACACACATTGCAGCTAGCCGATGGAAATATCACCCACATTATCCTTCCCCTCCTGTTATTGTTGAGGTGGCAGCTAGCGGCAATGGCTAATAATAACATAACAACATTAATCTTGGAGCTCGGCAGTAAATGTTATCAGTTCTACTGGTCTGTAATATTAATATTCACATAACGGGATAATGTAGTTATTTGTCTATAGAAAGTGATATATTTCCCTTAAAGTCCTGATTTACTAATAATGCAGATTGAAGGTGAGAGCAGTCTACCAGCATCTACACAGAAACAGTGTAAAGTTCCTTGATAACCTCATTTAATTAGCAATGAAATATAGTGCCAAGAACCACAGGAAATATGCATTCTTTAAAATATGTCTGTCAATTTTATCATTTTTTTTCCTCCATTGTGAAAAATGGTTTGGCGTAGCAAGTATTTTTCTGGGGATCGGTACTGAGTTTGAAATTCTAGTATCATGACAACCCTAGTGTGCACACTGTACTGCATGAAAGGCATTGATTGTAATGAATTAATTATTTATCCCTTGGCTGTCACAGGGTGACAGGCGGCGTGCACTCCCGACAGGTCTCTGTTCTATCGCAGGGCACAAAGAGACAGACCTGTGGCCAATTTAGAATCACTAATTAACTAACAAGCATGCCTTTGGACTGTAGGAGAAAACCAGAGTAATCAGAAAGAATATGTAAACTCTTTCTAAATAATTGTGATGGTAATGTCTTCCAAAAGTCTTCAAACTCTTGAAGTCTTCAAACATTCAGCATTTGAAGGTCTTTGTGCTTTCGATTGGAAGGTGAAATGTCTGAGTCCTTTTTTCGCTTCTCTCTCACACTCTGGATGTGATTACGGTCTGATTTGTAAAAGCAGCTGCTGATTACATAATCAGTGTCTGGGACTGACTTCAGCACACATTCAAGTCAAGGAATGGTCAAAAGGTGCAGTTTAGTGGCGCAGTCTTTCTTCAATTGTCTGTGGTATTTGAAGTAAAAGCTGTGAGCTTTACAAACTCAGACCAAAACACTAAAGAACTAAAATATTGACGTTAAGGCCCAAGGCATTATAAATGCTGAATTAGTGCTACGATATATATTGAGTACTCCACTATCTCATCTGCCTCACTCTGAATGATTTTAAGCTGAAAGCCTAACTCGGTGGTTCAGACTGTCAAAGTCCTAACAGCTGAGCACACATCTGTCCTGGCTTACATATACAAATACAGCTACTGGTAAAAACACTGCCTTTTTGAGCTGATGGCTAGCGTGTTCTTTTTTTTTTTCTTTGAAGCTTAATTGGGGTTTAACTGAATCCTAATTTACTGACAATGCATGATATATATGAATGGTGTGGCCATAGCGTGCTTTCAGTGAAATATGTCTTCCTGTATGACTCATTCATTACTGGAACTGAATGAACTCTTTGTAATTCAAAGAAGGTCTCCTCTCACACTGAGCAAGGGCAGCTTCACCGTCTTGCTTATATATATTGGGTCCTCTGCCTGAGAGCTTGAGGGACCTTGGATGAGCTCAGATGTTGTTCCTGGGATCTGCTGGAGCCACTCGCCTAGCTTGGAGGTCACTTTACTGAGTGCTCCGAATACCACTAGGACCACTGTTCTTCTTGATGTTGCTGTCATTCATTATCGCTACATCTATCACTATGGCCGTCTTCCTCTGCTTGTCTACTACTATCTCCGGTTGGTTAGCCATCACCAGTTTGTCCGTCTGTATCTGGAAGTCTCACAGGATCCTGTAAACTATGCTGGCCACTTGGTTATGGCGTTCCATGTATGCCCTGCCTGCTAGCATCTTGCACCATGCTGTTATGTGTTGGATTGTATCAGGGGCATCTTTACACAGCCTGCACCTGGGGTCTTGCCTGGTGTGATAGACCCCAGGACCACCGTGCAAGGGCCTGTCCTTCCATGACGGTTCCTCCTCTCGCTCCTCGTCTTTCTTGGGTTTCTGCTGCGTTAGGTATTCACTAAACACATGGTCAGTTGTCCCTATCTTCCTGATGTACTCGTGGATGTTCGTTGTCTAATCCTGGACTTTGGTACTGACACTCACTAGACCTCGGCTTCCTTCCGCTTAGCATACAGTCTCAGGGTGCTGGATTTGGTTGAAACCTTCATGCATTGTAAGGAGTTTCCTCTTCTTGATATCAGTGGCTTCTGTCTTCTTCTTTGGCAAGCGTATTATCCAAGCAGGATACCTGACCACCGGCAGAGTGAAGGTGTTGATAGCCTGGATGTTGTTCTTGCCATTCAGCCGACTCCTCTTCATTTAGTGTTGCACTAAAGCCTTTTGTTCAGTATACACAGCAGTATTTGAGCATATCATCAACCATGTGTTCCATGTTCAGATTTAAGAGGATGCTGATGGTGTGTTCCTTGCATTTGTAGTATTTTTATTCTGTTTTTATTTTGACAGATGTCTGATAGCACAGTTCTGACAGAAATTACTTTGTTCTCTGTCTGCTTAGCATTGCTGACCCGGCATTAATGTCGGTGCCTCCATTCAACAAAAAAAAAAAAAATAGAAAACAATGATGGATGTTAGATGATTCAGTTGTTGATTTATTCGACTAAATTCTAACTATTTTGAGTCTCCCTAATGGGTTGTTTATTGTTGTGCACTGTTGAAATGGGGATGCAGTTGAAAAGAAAGTAAATCAGTCATTAGCAGTGGCCAGGCCTTTCTCCATGCTCCATTTCACATTCTTTTAGCAGAGTGCCAGGGCCAGGAAACGATCTGGCAAATGGCATTTTTCTCAGGAAGGAAAAAGTGTTAAATAAATGATCACTGTTTTATTTCTTAATCAATCATGGTAATCCAGTGCTGAAAGGCATCAACCTATATGTACTTTATTGTGCAACTGTTACATAGCCACAGTATACTGAAAGAATGGAGGGATTTATAGAGATTTAGCTGAACACACTGTCAATTTGAATGCATGAAAAGAGTCGATCTGAGCATCCCTCAGCTTCTGAATGGCAGCCGGCATCACTATTCCCACATGAAAGTTTCTTTCTGCCAGAATAATCAGTCATATAGAAATCACTCCGCCCAGTGCAATTGTAGACACAACTGCCAATTATGACCGATGGTAGCAGAGCCAAATTGGGTAAATCCATGAGTCATGCCATAAAATGGATCGAGTTACAGCCCTAATGAAATTCTGGCATGTAATGCAGATCTGTTCTCTACAGTTTTTCTCTTTAATAGCCTGTGCAGATCAGCAGGCAAAAAAGAACAAGTGTTAAGACCAGTTAATCTCACTGGCATGCTAATTCGGAAAACTGGGCATGCTGAGCTAATGTTTTAGAAGCAGTAACAACCAAAGGGCTTGAGTGCTTTTGGGGTTTCTAAACTCTATTTTAGATTATGCTGACAAAAATCTGGGGAAAAGAATCTCAGCAGTGTCTTGACTCAGTTTCTTTTTTTAAATAGAACAGAAAGCGCTATAGTTTAGCCACTTAAGAGCGTGTGATTCTCTCTATACGTGTGTTTAAAGGGAGACATTATGTATCCATGTCTGTAGTCTGTAGGGTGATATCTTGAGTTAATCTGAGTTCACTTAACCCTTGTATGGTGTTCGGGTCTGTGAGACCCGTGTTCAGTTTTTTTCAAAAGAAAAATTAAACAATTAATTATTTTTTCACGTGTAAATGTGTTGTGTCTTTCCACTCACTCCACTTGATTATAACTGATTTATTTATAACATTTTATATAAAAGAAAAACGAGAAGCACATTAATTCATAAATGTGATCTAACAAAGGTAAAGGGAAAAAATTAATCATGTTTGCTGTTCATATGTCTTGTAATTGGGATGAAGTAAACATCTGTTGAGTAATTTAACATAAAATTGTTTGATAGTGTTAATTTGGAAAGCCAAAACTCTAGCGGGTCCACCAGACCCATGAACACTGGC